AATCTATGTAATACACATTTCTTTTCATTTAACAGGTTGTGGAGAGCGTTTTGAGTCAGATCAGTGCTTTGTTTATTAGCTTTGGCCTGGGAGAAGGAGACTGGGTAGGTAAAACCACCGGAAAACTACCCCATATCCCAGCAACTGGACCACCACCGCCCCCCTCTGGCTGAAGCATGGCTGGAGGGTCAGCAACGTGGACACTGTGCTGGGGATGGGGAGCTTGTTCTTTAGGCCTGCTCTCTAGTTCCTTTTGTTGATGGAAGAACATACAAACCCATAGAAAATTTTTATAAGAGTTCATTTGAGCAAAATCTCAGGACATGCCCAGAAGCAAGATCTCAACAGACTGAGAAAATGCTCTGGAGAATGGCAGTTATGCAGGGGTTTTTTTTAAATGCATTTAGAATCAAAGGAGAGAAAGTAAGAAAAGTAACATGAAATCTACTGGTGGTAGATTAAGAAGGTGGGAGAAAGCAAAGTGGGGATATTTCTAGGATTGGATAAAAAGCAAACTGAAGAGATACTGCTTTTACATTGGTGGATAGTTAACATTCAGCATTTACAGTAAACAGAGATGGTATGTGGCAACAAGCTAACAATGAGTTTTGTGCTTGTGCTCTGATGTCTGTGGTTGTGCCTTCGAGGGGGCTGAAAAAAATTACTCTGACATTTCAAAGGTGCTTTATCCTAGATGCATAAGAACAATGGACAGGGCTCACTGAGGGTAAAGACTGACCTTTGCTAAGGAAGCTATAGGCCTGGGACGCGACTACCTGCCATGATCTGCCCAGCTAGGAATTTATGATCAGACTTTCCTGTGTGGTTACTTTCTATCATTGAGCTTATCAGGCTTGCCATGTAGCTCCCTGATAGTCAAGTCTGAAATGTAGTCCCTTTTTCTTTCACAACCTGCAGAAGGGGCCCCACTCTACGATGGTATTAGAATATTTAACAGGAGCACTTTGGCGCTGGCCAATCAGTTTGGGAGACGCCAAGCTTTATTCCTTTACCAAGGGGAGGGCCAGGGGGTCCCAGGGGAGGGGCCAGCAGACTGGGGCAGCAGCTGTTGATTAGTCAGTTTAGGTATTTATTTCACAACTATATCAGCTGTACTGGTGCCAGCCAGTTGAAGATCAACCCACCTGCCCTACTTTTGGCATCTTGTTCTGGGTGACCCTACTCGACTTTATAAGGGAATTTAACTCAGCATCCAGAAGAAGAAGAGGAAAAAAGAACACATTTCTGGTTGGTCAGCTCCCCTGCTTTCAGAAGTTGCCCCCATCAGTGAGCCCACAGGCGCAGGATGGCAGGTAGAGGATGTGGGCCACCTCTTAGAGTGGGTTAACTGAGATCTTTTGGAGATGTGTGGGAAGCACTCCTCTGGAACTAAGAGCTGCAAGTACAGGGAGGCTCCAGGTTCAGTGCCCTTGCAGGGCCTGATGGAGGAGCTACTGCATATGCCCATGTGGCTGCAGGCCTCAGGCCCTGGACCTTACCCGCCTGGCCACCTGGATTTGGCTTAATCCCCACCCCACCCTCCTCCAGTGCTGGAAGTTCTGGCCTGCCTTGCTGTTTACACAGGTAGGAGCCCAAGGTTGACGGAAGTGGGAAGTTATTCTCCATGCTGCTCCGCCAACTCATTTTGTAGGGCATGGCCTTGAGTCTCTTGGGCAAGGCTAATGGGGTGGGGGAGTGTTTTCTTCCCAGACCCGCTCCCCGCGGGACTCCCCTGCACTAATACTGTGTCTTTAGGCCCTGCCTCCAAACCTGGGAGCTGGTTTCCACAGCCCTCCCTGGACTCACTCCCATCTACATTAAACCTGCCTGAAGGTGGCTGCCCCATCTGGGCAAGCAGACCAGACAGGACAGGGAGCCAGATTTGGCTCCAGAATGCTAATCCTCACTCTACCACCTGACCTAGACGGTCCCAAAAAGCAGCTTTGCAGCACCAGCTTCTGGCTCCCTCTCCAGGCAATTTGAGAGAACTGCAGCATAAATGTCTCCTCGAGGTAAGGGTCATTCTTGGTTAAGCTGTCCACCCCCTCAGCCCTAGCAGCGAGGACTCGATACTCCACTTTCCTTATAATTAACCAACTTGGCTATGTCTACCTCAGACTTAAAATGGCAGCCTCTTTGCAGGACCAACTTTTGCCACCTAATTACCTTTGTTGTAGGTGCCCCACTGCTTCCACACCAGCCTCCTCTCTGCTTTCTAAAGACTGGGTCTTGCCTTCCCCTGGCAAAGGCCTCAGCCAGCTCATTGTGGCCATTAACACCATACACTCCATCCCCGGGGTTTTGTTCCTCGCAGAAGGGGACAGGAGTCATGTGTCAGGAGGTGACCAGAGGAAGGCAGGGATGGCAGCCAGTTCTCAGACTGAAAGGTATATAATTGGAGCTTGAAAGCAAGGGTGCAGTTAATTTAACCCACACTGCTAACTGGCTGATGGACTTCCTGGGTGGTGGAAAGGGGACTGGGCGATTGCTGATTTTTCTCCAGTCCCTGTTATCTCTCCTGCTCACTGCTCTCTTATTTTGGGCCCTCAGCCCTTCTGCTGCTGAGCGCCCTGAGTGGACATCTTTCCTACTTAGGTGTGGCCTGCAGCACGGGCCTCACCTGGGCTCCACCCAGGCTCCTGAGTCAATCTGCATGTTAACAAGCCCCGTCGTAGGATCGTGTCACCATCCTGCTCAGCACCTTTGACATCCTCCCTGTGCTCGCTACCCAGAGGATGAGCTCCAAGCTTTCTTTAGCCTGGCATTCAACTCTCCCCTCACCCCCCGCTGAATGGCCTCACTGCTCTCATCATGCACCCTATGCTGCGTTGCCATTCCTCAGACATCCTGAGCCCATTCTGAGCCCAGCCCGCTCCTGCTGCTGCCTGATGGTGCCCAGTCTGCCCTCCCATCCAGCCTACAGGACCAGTTCAAATGTCGACTCCTCCTCCCCACAGAATATCTAGATGGGATAGTCTTCTCTGATCCTTGCCACTGTCAAGTCATCCAGAAGCAACTTCATCTTCTTGAGTCTTGCAGTACTTTATCTGCACTTTTCTGAGTCTCACGTTCCTGACTTGTAAGCCCTGCAAAGCGAAAGCCTTATATAGTGAAAAGAGCTCTGGGGTAGCCAGTGTCCTGAGTGGCTGACAGCCCCGACTCCCATAGCATAACCTGGAAAAATCTTGAACACTTTAGGTTCTTGGCCCTTCCTCTTGGACTGCAGATTAGAACTTCTGAGGGCCAGAAGCTTGCATGGTATGCATGCTGGGAGGTCTTTATGTGGTAACCACGGGTACATGGGATGGGCACTGATCATCCTATATCGAGACAACCTGCTGAATCATCTGTACTAGGTCTTGCCTGTCAGGGTTGCTGCAGGGATTCCATGAATTAGCAAACACACCCCAAACAGAGCAAGCACAGTGCTTTACATATAGAACCACCAGGAGGAATTATTCTAAAAGCATAGTGATATTCAAGGCCACAATCTATAGTAGTAAAAACCAAAATCACCCAATCACCCGACAGTGGAATACATTTTATAGGAAAATACATCCACATTTATAGTATGAATCACGTGTGGTAGCTATCTCCAACCAAAGAACCAGGCCTCCTGGTATTCCTGCCTTGTGTGGTCGGTCAGTCTCATCCCACCATGCACCTAGGTTTGCCCTGAGACTTAATGATGATGTGGCAGAAGTGATGCTGTGCCAGTTCTGAGCCTAAGCCTTAATGCCAGGCAGCTTTCGCCCTTGTACTTTTGGAAACCCTGAGCCAAGTAAGAAATCTGTCCACCCTGTAGTAGAGGCCCCATGAAGAGTGAGGCTTGAGACCTCACAGAGACCAGCTATCCCCGCAACCCTCGAGCACCAGCCATACCCCTCAGCCATCATCCTGGATGTGCCAGATCCGCCAGGCCCCCATAACTGGAGGCTCAGAACCTTCCAGCAGAGCCTTGTCAACCTGCAAAATTGTGAGACCTAATAAAATGGCTTAAAAGCAACGAAAGTAGGTGTGTTACACAGTAACAGACTAGAACAGGCTTTAAAATGACACGTGAAGCATCATTTCAACATATGAAATATGCAAACTTAAGAGAAATACTATTACCAATAATTATTTCCTGCTTTATTTTTTGGCTACATTTAGGTTTTAAACGATGAACACGTATTACTTGTTTGAGAAAACAATGATCCTATACTCGATTGCAAAATCTGTTTTAGTTTCACTGGGTGTAGCCACCTACCCTTTCACCCTTTGATGGAAGGCCATCACCCGTTGCCAGAAAGTTCTTGCTCAGATATGCAGCGCGGTCTGCACGTCAGAGGCCATGGCTTTTGGGGAGCAGACTGTGCCCAACGCTAAAGAGAATCAGGTCTCCCTTTTATTCCTCACAATTTTCCTAAGCCTGGATAGTACAATAAAGTCCCTTTCAGGCCACTGAGGAAGAAAGACACGAAGCCACCTTTCCCTGACAGACAGCATTGTGTCCTCAGCCCAACCATGGAAGCAGATGTTTTGGTTTCTCCTGTACCTGTCCCAGCTGTCCTCTCAACACTGGCAATGGGATGTCATTGTTGCTGAATATCAGGGCTCCACCAGAAGAGGTTAAATTCAGAGTAGGACAGTTGTCAGCCAAGGCAGCTCCAACATAGAAGACTGTGCTGTTTGCTTAGCTGGAAAAATAGCACACAGGAAGAACCAGGGACAACAAATAGCGACTTATCATCAGTCACTGAGCTATTACTCCTCGCAGGTGAAAGGACACCGAGGAATTGGCCTGAGCAGACTCTTCTTTCAGTTTACACACCTGAGGGATGCAATGGTGCAGAGCAGGTCTGGGAGGAGCAACTACTGATAAATATTTCAGACTTCTTTGAAGCTACAAATGAGATCATCTTGCTTCAGTCTAATATTTAAATAACATCTAGTATTGATTTGTGATCAAAGAAATGCCAGACACTCAAGTCAGCTCTAGTAGGGAAGAAAGCACAATATTTATGGCAGAGACCTTGAAAAAGAAAATCAAAGCCTACTTTTATTGATGCACCAATAGACTGATCCGCAACTAGGAAGGGATGGTAACATTAATACAATATTCATCGTTAAAGCAAAATGAAATACAAAGAAATCTGAAATGCTTTACAGTGACAGAATGCCTTAATAAGTTAAGGAAATGGACTGCCTGCTAACAGTTTTCTCATTTCATGTTCTTCACAAACTCTTCTCCTTTCTTGATTGAGGCTTTCAGCTCAGGAATGGCATCAGCTATCATCTTCTCTTCAAAAGGGGAAACTTTGCCAATGCCTAGATTTTTCTCGATGCCCTTTTTCTGTATGAGAGGGGAGGCAGAAAGATTTTACAGTGAAGTTAGTTTCCATGAATGGGTTTGTTATAGAAAATTCAGCTTGTATCATCATTACCTCGTTATAGAAAATTCAGCTTGTATCATCATTACCTCATTCTAGACTATCTACTCCCGTGGCTTCTGGGCTGTCTGTTAAGAAGCCGCAAATACCTGGACCTTAGGCTTCAGTCACACAGTCCATATGCGGGGATCTGGGCTGTTACTCTGCATATACCCTGGACAATCGCTTCCATGACAACTTTGCTTATCTATAAAATAAGCGCAGTATCTACTTCAAGGGAGGCTGTAAACACACATGGGCAACAGGGCACATCAAGTACTCAAATGGTTGCACTTAATGTTATTCTCCCTGACATAGAGCATACTTTGGGGTTCTAGTCTCTTTCTCAAGTTGGTAAAGGGCTGAAAAGAAATTTAATATCCACTTGAGTCCAATGTAATTAAGTAGGTAAATGTCTGAAACTAGGAAAACAACAGTGCCTGTCACTGCCTCACCTCCCACTGCTGAGCCCTATTTGTGCTGCACCAGCAGCCTCAGCTTCCAGCCCCTCGGAAAGCCCTCCTGACTCGGTTAGCCTTGCGGGCTCCTTTCCTACGGGCCCTGCCACACTCTGCACATCCCTGCGCTGAACTGGTTATTGAATTAATCTGGTTAGTGTCAGTCTCTCCACCAAATGGAGCCCCCGAGGCCTGGGGCCACGTCACACTGCTCTTCGCACATTGGGATGTCTGTGGGAAGGGCCTGTGGGTGGCCCAGCAAGTCACAAAACTGTTTTTTACTGGGCATGAGATGAAGGCCACCACACATCAGCCTGATTTCAGCGGTTGCCCAGCCTAAGAAATAGAAGCCTTGGCTTGATGGTTTGTGAGAGTGAGACCAGGGGTTTTGGCTCACTGAAGACTCATTAGGAGTCAACCAGACCAAAAAACGGCCTGGCTAAAGCCAGCAAGGGAAACAGATGGGCTCCATCCTAGATGCCACAGTTTTAAGGAGACAAT